TTCCGAGATTCCGTATATATATATATACAAGAATTGCTCGTAGGTATAGGATTTATATTTTTGTTTTACTAAAAGCTTTTGTTGAGTGCTTCGAAATTAGGAAATATTATTTTCAAACTTCCTTGTTATTATCACAAAATAAATTCTGTTATAGATTTGTTGCTATCTCTTGTTTGTGAATTATAGTTTCTTACGTGTTAGTTATGAAATGTCTAATTATTGTAATAATTGGTACTGTTACAAATCAGTGTTATTAGTTTTGAGTGAATAGGCATATGTATCAGTATTGCTTCAAATAGGTACTTCTGTTTTTATAAAAAATTCAATAGTGTAATGTAATAAAATAAAACTGCGTTATATTGTAATCAATGTTGACATAATTTATTTCCTAAAGTTATAAATCAATTAAATAGTTTACGCCAACAAATATAAATTTTATTTTTATAACAATCGTACATAGCGTTTTGTAGTTCTGCCTACCCAATCTACACATACAGAAAAATTAAAAACTTGTTTTTTTACCTACACGCCATCTAGTGTTCTAGTTTCGTAAACGTAGGGATACGTCTGCGTGTGTAAACGACACTATATTCAATGACAGATGTTATAATCAAAATTTATGTCGAATTGGGTGGATTTTGAGGCAATGATATGACCCATTCCAATAAAATGTAATATACGATAACCGCAAAGTCTACTGCTACGACTTAATAATTTTCCAATTACAGAAAAATCCAAATAAACTAAAAATGTTTACTTCAGCGCCATCTTGCGGGAGAATGTCTGGGAACAGTCTGTAGGTTTCACCTTAACCATCATAGCTGCCTAAGTGTATGGAGTTGACTCAGCTCTGCTCTCCGTGATTTTTTTTTCTGCAACTTCTTAAATTTCGTCTCTTCCTGAATTAATATTATTAGTAGCAGAAGAAGCTATGGGAGTACCAGAACTATTTGGACTTCACTAGAACTATTTGAATCCTCTTCACTGTTAATGTTTGTTATATCTCATTTATTATCCACATTTGCGCATTATTAGAATTACTTTCCTACGAAAAACCTTTTTTTAAACCATGGATCAAGAAAGATAGGTATTGCAGCTGTCCTATTGATTACATACACCCCAAGTCGTTTTTCTATCACAGCAACAATACTACGTTTTAAACACTTGCCTAATTCCGTCACAGGCGTCTTGCTGTTAATGGCCCTTCGCAGTGGCGAAGCTTCCATTAAAGCCGAAAAGCAGGGCTTGCCTTATTAAACCTGAATCAATCAATAATATCAACTAATAAAATAACTCGTAAAATGTTTCAAGCTATTTCAAATTTCCCGCGCACTCCACTGTTCGACACATGTCGACCGATGACCTCGTATTGCCTTAGCGATACTGCTGCTGTCATAAAAAATGAGTTTTAATAGAGCTAATAGTTGTCTCCCTCGCTCGCGTGGGTTTTTTACAGTGCTTTTGAGAAGACGATCGCTCTCTTTCTAACCTATGGTAAAATATTCTATAATGAAATATAACTACGATTGTATATATAGCAATTAGTATAGAGATTTAAAGCCAGGCTTTTGGGAATAAATTTGTTAAAAGCGGAGGCGCGTGGGCAATACGTTTGCAAGTTCATTTCACGTTTCAATGTTTATTTACTCTGTGTGCTTATCTTAAGCGATTTAATATTACGAGTTCAAAATTTATGCTTTTTTTAAAGATTTTTAATGATAATGGAGGATAATAGTGTTCCTTGTGATGAATTGAAGTGTGTGATAATCGGAGAGGAAATCTTTAAACTTTGTTGAGATAATACACAAGGTTAAGAGTGTATTTCAGACTTATCAATTATCGCAATTAAAAACAGTTATTGGTACAATTAAAACGTTTACCAACATTTTACGTGGACGTAATTAAATCTCTCCATAAGAAAGCGAGACGATTACACTTATCTTATCTTTTATCCATTGGAATGTAAATATTTTTTTTTTAATTTTGTACATAGTTTGTACTTTGTTCGTGTTTTACTTTTGTTCATGTATTGTATTGGATGTAAATATTTTTTTTTCTTTCGCTTAAACAAATCCCCAAACGGCTTTCTTCAAAGCCAGCGAAGCTATGCAATTGCTGATATGTAATACAATATATCTAGCAGTGGTATGCCTTCTGTGTGCTTTGTTAAACACGTCCTTGACAGCATTGAATATGAAACTGAAGCGTGGAGACAGATCAAGATTGGTGTATTTTTATAAAACTGTTAAAAACAATAATCTATATTTTTATCAATTTATATCTTGGGCTTGCCCTAGCTTGGAGCTCTAGCTTCGCCACTGGCCATTCGTAGTCCAAATACAAGAGGAATAACCGAAGACAGGGTTGGGTATTGTTCTCATGATAAAATTGTAGTCACACTTTCGAAAGGACGTAACTACTTTTTCCCAATAAATCTGACCGTATGGCGTCATTGGAAAAAGTAATTGAGAGGCGTTAAGTCGCACGGACGAGGGAGCCAAATAAGACTACCGTTTCTGGAAATGGATGTAATGGTGGTTCGTTAATGCCATGAGGATTGTCTTAATATATGGCAATTTTGATTATCCACGAAGCATTTAAACCAGAAATGATTCATCACTAAACACTATTCTTCGAAATAAGTGCTCAACATTCATTTTCATAAACTTAATGTTGTGAAAGACGATCCACGTTCTTTAATTATGATCTTCAATGCAAGATTTATGACTACCTATGAGCATTAACCGACTTCAAAAAGGAGGAGGTATTTCAATTTACTATAATTATATTGATGTTATGAATGTATTTGAGTGATTCCCAAGCATATAGATACAGTAATTCTATGGTGATTTTTAGAGGTGTTTTCGCAAATAATTATGATCGAGTGAAAATTACACAACCGTGTTTTTGAACAAGCAAATTAAAGATAAAGACACGAATTTTTACCTATATCAAAATTCCACTTTCGTTAGTGGTGTCCTATACTATTCGATGAAAGGATGTGCATTTTTTCGCGGTGTCGCCTTAAAATTTAGTAGCGTCAGGCCTCCGTCACTCGCTCTATTCCACGCGTTATATGCCTACTAGACAAGGGCGCCGCCCCCAAATATTGCGGCGGTGGCGTGCTGATGAATCTCGCTCGGCGGCGGCGTGGCGCCGGCGGCGTGGCTGATTTATGTGCAGTATGAAAATTCAGTGTAAAAATCTTAAAAAAAAAGCAACAATGCAATGACTCACTTTATTTACCAAAAAACAAAACAAAACTGGTCAAGCAAGGCAACAAAATTAGTTTTCTATATAATTTTTGCATTCCCTATAGTTATCGTGAATAAAAATTATTTTATTCACCCTTTGTGGACTCAAACGAGATCTTTTTGCAGAAAGTACCATTCCAGCTACAGAAAATACCCTCTCACTTGGGGTACTTGTAGCGGGTACACATAGCAAAGCTCTGGCAAAGGTAGACAGACAAGGAAAATGTTTCTTCTTTTCGTTCCAAAAAGATAAAAGATCCTCATTATTGATATCCGTAGATACAACAACAGAAGCGAGATATCGCCAACATTCTTGGTCTAGTGGATCATCATCTTCAAGTCCATGACCATGACCAGCACTATGTTTCTTAGAGAGTTTACTCAAAATTGATGAGGAACTGCTGGTATTTAAGGAAACTGAAGTGTACGTTTCTTTTCATTCACAATTTCCGGGCAAATCATGCGATTTTATAACTTCTTTTATATAAGATGCAAGGAAGGAAGCCTTTGTCGTATGTTTAGCTTAAAATATTTTAATTCAAAAGGCAAGTTATACGTGTACGTAAGTAGATCTTGGATACTGAAGTAAATTTCTACTAAATTTTGTAATAAAGTTCGTAGATATTAAATAAATTATTACTTAATTCTTTTTTGCTATAAGTCCTATCTAACAATAAAAATGAAATAAATTCACGTTTCATAACTTACTACTAAAATCCTTCGGTAATAAAGAATGATGTATCTGAAATATTTTGTTGGTCATTTAGCGTCTATCCATTCAATAATTATAGAGGGAACGACGTTTTGCCATATTAAAATTTATTAAATAATGGGTAATATACATAATATAAATATATATTTCTTAAATTACATTAAAGCTTTTGAACTACTTTATCCTATAATTAAATATACTAAACATTAAACAAAAACTATTTCAATAATATTTACAAAAAGTTATATACGTAAACAGCGTTAAGAGTGATTCCACTGTTTCGTCCGAAACGGAGCAATTTCGTGGAATATTTATTTTGTTTGTGGTTTTGAAAAAAATATGTATTAAATTATTCATATAAGTTGTAGATACAGGTTATTGTGAAAGGCGATCGTGAAAACCATTTCCTTTTCAAGAAAATTGATGGAGTGTAATGAGAGTGTGGAAGGTAATGAAATATAGTGAGAGTGTAATGATTAACTTTGGAGGGTAATGAAATGTTTGAGAGTGTAATGATTTAGTTTGGGAAGGTAATGAAAAGGAGTAAATCCTTTATAAATGTTGTGTTTATCATTGACAAAAACTATGTAATTTATCTGTGGTGTGTTTAATTAGGGAGTTAGGTATTACAGTCAATAAATGTAAATCATGAAATCAATAGAATTTTTAATAAATGTTAGAAAATTTGAAAAAAAAATATGTATAACAAAGTATGACAAAGATACTATAAAATAATATCAAAGTATGAGCCTAAGATCTTTGTGGGAATGAGAATAACAACAAATTAAACATAGGTTCAATGTTATAAAGAAAAATGTAGACTGGAACATACAAAACACGAAAACGCTGTTTTCATAAAAATCTAATAAAATATAGTATCAAAAAATTAAATCGCTTGTTTTTCTTTAAATCACATAGGTAATTTACTCTTTATTAATCATATAATTTACGTTATGTATAATCAGTCTACTTCAAATTAAGGTTTGGTAACTTTTTAAAAGTAAATTCACCTTTTCTAGATTCTTCTGGTTCTCCTAAGTGCTGTAGAATACGAGATTCAGATACAATATCCAATGGAACTTTACCGACTTTCCATGCACTTTCCTTAAAAATAATATTTTATATTCAAGTGTGCTACTCATCTTATCCATGTTTTTGCCAACGAAATACTGTGAGTTCTTCATTTTATATTCAACGACCTCCCATTGGTCTAAGTCATATTTTAATTCAATTACTTCGACGTTTTCTTTGGTTTCGATGTCGTAGTCCATTCTCATAGATGTATTCTGATCACGACCGAAATCAGATTTGATTATTAGCTCCTCAATATCATCCTCGAAATCTTGAGGAACTGGATGTTGAATTAACACCTTAAATTCTGTTTGCTTAATGGAACTAAATCCTTGAATGTTACAATTGTGGTACTTTACTGGAATGTTGGATAACATTTTTATTTTAGATTTATTGTTTATATTTATTTCCAGGGTCGAAGTTTCTGATAATAAATCGAATTGCCTCAAATTTCCGATATTGTTAAATATGGTTGGCGAATCGATGTTGATTGGGCTGTTAACGTCAGAAGGATCATATTTTCCACCATTAGTTCCATCAATCAAGGACTTCATCACATTTACAACGTTATAGTTATTATAACTAGACATTTCTTGTGCAGTTGCTTCTTGACAAATTCCCATATTTAGTACTCCGAGATATTTTCTATATTTACATGGTATTTAACTATCTCGACAATCAAAACTAAGGCTTCTAAAAGTAATGTCGAAGGGCAAAGATGAAGACCAAAGAGTTTGGTGGACTTTGATTGTCCCTTTAAATGCAGGAATGTTTTTGGGAAATTCTTTGTCCGTTATCTTACTCTGCGATGACAATGAGCTTAACATTTGCAATGTTTTGCTAAACAACTTGCACAGTCTTCAAATGAGCCTACATCGCTACCGAGTCTGACGTAGTTGTCAGCTGTTCTTTTTACAACAGCACCAATGCCATCTGGGGCCCGCTTGCCATGCCCTACTTCTTGATAATTCCATGTTATTAGCTTTAGGTTTGAAATTTGATCTTTCAATTTCGACATCATGTAAAAAATGAATCGGTTGCGGTATTGACTCGAGGGAGAGTCCGATAAGAAATGAATTGTTGTAAGATGTGGCACTAAATCTTGAACCATGTCCAAAACTGGGTCCAAGTGAAAAATATCAGACACGATACTTCCGCTATATGGGTATAGCGGAAGTATCGTGTCTGATATTTTTTGACATGGTGCAGAATGACTTACAAGTTTTTTCTTTAGTTTGACTGTTTAAATAATATAATACTCCGATGTGAAGTGAAATTTGTTGACGACTACCGCCGAAGTGAAAACTTTGGATTTCTTCATTATATTTCAACAAATAGTTTTCACTAAAATCCACATGGCATAATAATACTTCATTAACAGTTATACTCTCTTTTAATTTTTTAATAGCTGAGTATTATTGCATATTAATATTTAAATTATGTTTGAAAAAGTCAACTAAATTTTCGAACTACTGAATAACATTACGAGGCGCATCTTCTTTTTTTTTTATAATTACCCTTTTAGTGTTTTCCTTTCCATCTTTTCCTTGATAACTTTGTTTCTGAAAAATCCATTCATAGTAAATAATATTTTCACTGTTGTCAAATTCCTGGTATCTCGTAACTTTATTTTTACATCTATGACACCTTCTCTCCAAACATTCTCTGTCATATATATCACAGCAAATATTTTGAAGAACTTCAGTAGCCGAACTTTCTGCAATAATATCTACTTTTTTTAAAGACTTTGTTAGAAGTTCCATATTGGCATGTAGCTTGCACTCGCACGTGTCTCTTTTTCCTGAAGGGTGAACTATCCAAAATGGCCTATATTTACAAAATACTGAATAGGAAATTCGGTCCCATTTCTCGCAATATTTAGTATATAAGTTTTTTATGTTATCAGTCAGATAACGTTTTTGTTTTTTGATGCCACTGCGTTTAATATATTCATTTTTTCCAGCAGCTACTTGACTGTTTGCATCTTCTGGGTTTTGTACTCTTCGCTTTATCTCAGCTGTTATCTTTTGTAGCACTTGTTTTTTAGATAATTTATTTTTTAAAGCAAAATTAACCTTCGACAGTACACCATACTTTTTTAGCCTCGCATCGTCAACAATATCTTCAGCAAAAGATCTTTTTTTTTTTAGAAAGACTTTTATATTTGTCAGATACTCCTCGATTAAGTGTTTCGTTGAACAGAAGTTTCTTTTTTTTTTTTTTCTTTTGGTTAAATATTGTTTTTCTTCCTCCCCCCTGTCGAAAATAAAAAATATATATATAATTTTTTTTTTACGTTCTCTATGTTATCAGCCTTTATGGCTTTAATTACTTGATCTACTTTTTTTTTATTGTATCTGCAATATTATTTCTTACTCTCTGCATTTCTCGCTCTTTTTTTATTTGTTTCCTCAGCATATCCTTATCTCTCTTTAGTTTATTCATTTCTTTCTTTAAATTAGAAATTACTTTCATTGATCTATATCGCAGTTTTCTTGTAGCACTTGAATTTACTTGGATCGATTGGGTTGCTTTGCTATTGACTGTCTTTGGTGTTTTTTCTATTTCCATCAAAGGATCGGGATCTGCTATATTCGCAATTTCTTCATTTTCGCTTGTGGGTGGTGAGTTTTCCAGTAAAACACGTTCTATGTTCTTTTGTTCCTTTAATTTATTCAAATATTTTCTTGAGTTTTTTCGCCATCTTCGCCTTTGCTCCCTTTTTTTGTCTGTCAGTAATTTCTGCTATGCTGAGAATCTTTTTCTTTTCTTTTCTTAAAAGGTACTTCTTTCTTTCTTTCTCTTTTTCAAGTCTGTATTTTTCAGGATCTTTTTTTGATTTATGCATATTTTTCCTTCTTTCGTAGCCTGTCTTTGGCTAATTTTTTCTTGTGCTGTTGCTTTTTTCTTCGGCTTCACCATAATTGTATAGTTACCTACAAAAAGGTTTACAAACGTATTAAAATACACATTAAATACGTAACACATCTGAAACAAAAAATGGAAAAGGCGTCTATGCAATGGAGCCCGTAAATTGTATTGTTTTGTCAATTTAGGAGTCGGTTTAGACCACGGTCTACCAAGTAAAAAATTTGCATCATTTATGACGCATTGGTTATCTTTAGCTTTCAACAAAAAAAAATCCCTTCCAAAACGTTTCATTCCCCTCCGTATAAAAGTTAGTGGGAACGGAATGTAATGAAATGGAAGGAAATGATTTTTTTGCAGAATTTTATAATTTACTTAGAATTTAATAGTACATTGACCCTAATAACTATACTGTGACATAACCTAACTAAAGTCTATAATGTAATCGTAAATTATATTTTTCATCTCAAGCGGTTACTTTATAAATAAACGGAATGTAATGAGTACTTACCTGTGACAAACAGGATTCTCAACACTCAAATCGTAAATAATTTCTGCTTCGGTCGCAAACATCCGTGTCAGATGAAATAGTTCGGTAGACTGAGGGACGCGGGAGGCGCGGGCGGTTGGCTTAATGTAAAAACAGAGTCGCACTCATAATAATGTTTATTGCAAACTCTGTGGAATGGAATGAAATTTTTCGAATGTGTGACAAAATTTCAACGCTGATTATTTCTACGTTACGCACCCTTTAAAAATTCATATGTAGAAAATTAATATTCTTTAATAAGTTATTAATAGCATAGGAGAAAAATCGTGCAGTTTTGCTTTAAGAAAGCGCTTTAATGTGATGACAAATATTTTGAGTGGCCGTGTGGAAAAGGAGTAGAATGAAGTTTGGTCATGTTTTTGTTATAAAATTTTTTTTATTTATGTATTGATAACAAAAATAACAAATGCCTCTTTGAACTTTTAGTAAAAAAAATTAACATATTTACATTTACTTTAACATTCATGCTGATTTTTATGACGGAAAGACGATTTGGATGAAATGGTGGAATCACTTAAAAAAACTTTCAATCGCCTCCAACGCGCTAGCCTTGACTGCGTTATTTCGCCCGGGCGTGTCGCGATATCTGGTAATCATTTTACGTAGATAACAAGAGTGATATAGGACTGGCATAGATATCAATTTTCAAAACCATTCATCACTTTTGTATGAACGATTTATTCAAAAAGTATTATATGAGCTATACAGTCCACCTGATGGTACCGAAATGGGGTATTGCACACAACTAGTATTCGACGACTCGGTCAAACGATTGCGCGGGTTAAAAATTCTAAAGGCGCCATCTAGTGACGTAATTTTTAAACAATTGAATACTACTACCATCTATTGGCTGGATTACATACCAAACCGGAAGTGAAAAGTTGAGTTTAAAATGAAAGTTTGTCGGTTTCTATTGCCTCAGTGGTTGCTTTTTAAAGTTTTGTACATTTTTTTACTTTACGAATATCTATAGTAGGGTTTTCTCCAGTTTTAAGGCGCTGGTTCTAGCGACCGACCTTGAGCGTTCGGTAAAGAAATATGTATGCCCAACTTTTAAAATATTTTGTTTCTAAAATCGAATATTAGTCCTTTGAAAACATTAAATAGATCAAAATGTTCATTAATAAATTGCCTATACATTAGTTGTGCCCTACAGGCACAATTGTTTGCTGGGTTGGTGGAGAATAAAACCACTGAGACTTTTTTCTTTCTTCTATATTCGATGTTTTCCTTGAGGGAGCTGGCCGCCGACTGTGTCGAACGACTTTTTTTTTGCGCCCGAAGCAATTAAAGGGCTACCCTATACGTAGGGAGGCGGAAAATGCATTACGCATACCACGATAGCCGGTCTATCGTGGTTATGAGGGGCTCACTGTCCTACCGGGGACCCTAAGTGATACCCTCTAAAAACCGCCTTTGGGGACAGGCAGCCGGCTGATTAAGCTGTATTGTGCCTTATCATGAGCGACCCTCTTTTGGGAAAAGAGGGCGCAGGCGGCTAAGAGCCGCTGAGGGAGTGCCTACGAAGGCAAATTAATGTTAGTTAATACAATAATTTAATTTAATTAGAGTTGGCCTGAGCCGCCAGGAGACAGTTCAGGTCGTTTGACAGTTTATTAGGCGGGTCCGAGAGAGAGTTTCTCGGCCTGCGGACACGGTAGCGAGAGGGGGGTGGGGCTGCATAAGAAGCTGCCTCACGAATTAATTGGTTTGGGTGCGACTCTGAGGCTTTGAAGAAGTTCTCAGAGAGAGAGTTTTTTAAGAAATTGTTGAATTGTTGGGAGCTCTAAGTCCCGATGAAGGTCGGCATTACGGACGAACCAAGGTGCGTTCGCAGCTCGACGACAGAAGAGGTTCTGAACTATTTGGAGTTCATTTATAATATTAGGGTTTGCGTGGGCAAAGACGGGGCCCGCGTAGGACATGACTGGTCGTATACAGACCTTGTAAAGGGTACGC